ACTCCCTTTCCACAAATCTTTCCACTGCACCATGTTAACAACAAAAACAAAGGTAAGACTATCGACTAATGTTGAATGAGTACTTACTATTTGCCAGGCATTGATTGTGCTAGGTGCTTTATATGTATCATCACATACATAATTTGGGGAGGAGGGATTGATTTTAGGCAAACGAAGCATCATAGAGTGGGTGAATGGGGGGAGGGAAGGCCATTTGAAGGAACTATTAGAATTTTGTAAAGAACCTGAGTAAAGATATGAAAGGAGAAGGTGAAAACTGGTCAGGGTAGTGGGAGGCGCAGTCAGTGAGGCGTCCAACACTTATCTAGGCTCAGATCATGATCTTACAGTTCGTGTGTCCCAGCCCCACACTGGGCTCTGAGCTGATGGTGGTGAGGCCTGCCTGGGATTCTGTCTCTCCTCCTCTCTGCCCCTCCCACGCTTATTCTCTCTCTCTCTCTCTCTCTCTGCCTCAAAATAAATAAATAAGCTTTTAAAAAAATTTTAGGGGCGCCTGGGTGGCTCAGTTGGCTAGGCGTCCGACTCCGGCTCAGGTCACGATCTCACAGCCCGTGAGTTCGAGCCCCGCGTCAGGCTCTGGGCTGATGGCTCAGAGCCTGGAGCCTGTTTCCGATTCTGTGTCTCCCTCTCTCTCTGCCCCTCCCCCGTTCATGCTCTGTCTCTCTCTGTCTCAAAAATAAATAAACGTTAAAAAAATTAAAAAAATAAAAAAATAAAAAAATAAAAAAAAAATAAAAAAATAAAAAAATTTTAAAGGAAAGAAAACCGGACAGGGTCAGCCAGACATGTGGATGTGTGTGAGAGGGAAGAGGAATGGCAAAAGGCCAGAGCGCCAAGGGCAGGGCAAAGTAGGAACCCGGAGGTATTTTAGGATAATAAAATCAAAAGTGATCAAAGGAAGTTATTATAACCATTTGTGAACGGAGTTCTTTCCAAGTTTCAGAAGTAAAATTAATGCGTTCTATTTTGACACAATGAAGAGACCGAGACCGGCTCTTGGGGCCAAACTAAAATAAAATACATCAGAGTCTTAATGGCCTTCCTGGTGTCTCTAAAGGGTTACTTATTATCTGTTAAATATTTGAATAGAGCATTGTTCTGGTATCACCACAGGAACAGTCCTTTGCATAAAAGCAGAGGAACCAGTCTGAAAGCCCTGTCTGCAGTGAAAGCCACAGGGCAGTGCATCAACCCCAGCAGCACTGTGTTGACAAGGTGGTCTGCATTCAGCCTGGACGTGGAGACGGACGGGCTCTCAGCCAGGCACATTAGGAGGTTCCTGAGGACCAGCCAGGGGATCACGGGGGATGCCCTGTGCGTCTGTTATTAAGGCTGACTTGGTTAGGGCATGGGAGGCAGGCACGTGACGTGTGCTGAGCGGTGAGACCAGGCTCAGACGAAACCCTGAAATCAACGCCCAGCTGGGAGGCATCTCCTGGCCCCACAAGTGACGCGCCCCCCTCGGACTCTGTCTTCAACCTCTCCGTTGACTGCTTCTCCACGTTGTAAACGCCTCTGTTTCTCCAATCTTTTATTTTTTTTTTAAATTTTTTTTTTCAACCTTTATTTATTTTTGGGACAGAGAGAGACAGAGCATGAACGGTGGAGGGTCAGAGAGAGAGGGAGACACAGAATCGGAAACAGGCTCCAGGCTCTGAGCCATCAGCCCAGAGCCCGACGCGGGGCTCGAACTCACGGACCGCGAGATCGTGACCTGGCTGAAGTCGGACGCTTAACCGACTGCGCCACCCAGGCGCCCCTCTCCAATCTTTTAAAAAGCAGCCAGTCACGACAGGACAGCTCACCCTTCCTGCGTTCTTGCTCGTTCTCCTCCATTGCCTGGAAAGAGGGGTCTACACTGGCTGCCTCCACATGCGCGCATCTCACTTGCTTCTTGGGCCGCTGCTGCTCCCTGGTTTCTTCCCCTCCACCGTGTCAGTGAAACAGTTCCCACCAACGTCACCAAAGACTTCTCGGTCACCAGATTCGATGCGTCCATCTCGTGTCTTATTCCACTTGACCTTCCTGTGGGCATCTGTCTGGAAGGATCCCTCCTTTTAGACATTCTTTGATTTTTTTGGTTTCCCCAGCACTCTACTCCTCTTTCTTTTTTTTCCTGCATGATCCTTAAAGGTCAGTGTTACCAGGCTCCATCCTTGGCCACTGCTTTTCTGATTGGACACAGTCTCCTGGGAACCTCCCTCAGGGTTTCAACCACCACTGGTATCATGGTATCATTGAAATCTCTATATTCTGTCTTGACCACCTTCTCTAAGCTGTATATTCAGCTGTCCGCTAAGCATCCCTTTCCAGACGCCCCATGGAAATTTCAACACACAAAACCACTTATAATCTCATCCCCAAATTGCCCTTTCTTCATGGATTTCCTCATCTGAGTGCCAAAACTAATCATCCTGTTGCTTAACCCAGAAACCAGGGAAGGGTTTCTGACTTGGTTCTTCCTCCCTAGTTACCACCCAGTGAGTCAGCAAGCCCTGTCACAGCCCCTCTGTCTCCTGGTGACAGCACCCACCACCACAGCTAAGCTCCTGCCTCCAGACTCTTAGCCTCAAATCCACCTCCGCGCTGGCCACCAGAGTAATTCGTCTGGACCCAAACCAGGACCATGTCCCTTCTCTGCTGAAAGTCTCCCTGTGGTTTCCAACTGACAACCTTCCGTTCTCATTCCTTTCCTCTCCCCTATTTCCACCCTAGGCCCACAGGGAGGCTGGACCATAGGGGGCAGGCAGCCAACAGCCAGGGCTTTGAAGCTAGTCAGAGGGATTGAGTTTTGACATAAGATGACATAGGAACCATTCACAGGTTCACGGACGGCGCATGATGGCATGATGACAGATACACATGACAGGTGGTACAAATGGGAGACACATTAGCAGACTGTTATGGACTGAATGTTTGTGTCCTCCCTGAATTCATATGCGAAATCCTAATGTCAAATGTATTTGGAAGTGAAGGCTTTGGGAGGGGATGAGGTCATGGGGTGGAGCCCTCATGAATGGGATTAGTGTCCTTACAAAAGGGACCCCAGGGAGCCCCCATGCCCTCTTCCCACTCCTACCTGTGGAAGGACACAGGGTAAACACTGCGGAAAACACTGTCCTCTATGAACCAGGAAGCCGGTCCTCACCAAAAAAACAGAACTGCCTTGTTCTTGGACCTCCCAGCCTCCAGAACGGGGAGAAATAAACTTTCCGTTGTTTTTAAGTCACCCCGTCTATGGTACTTTGTTATAGAAGCCTGAACCGGCTGATGCTGGCTATCGTAACGGAGGCCAAAGGACCTAGACTAGTTTTGTACGGTGAGAAAACAAGACAGGTGAGCCTGTAGGAGCTATGAGGAAGGGGTCATATCTGAAAAGGAAAATCACCAGGTGCAAGTGGTAAGGAAATGCATTAGGGGGTCATGTCAAGCACTAGTAACAACATAATCATCAGAAAGTCTAGAGACTTTAGAGCTCCATTATTGGAAGCCCAGCACTAGGAACAGGAGCAAGGGTTGGTATTCCACACACACACACACACACACACACACACACACACACACACACACAGTAAGAGAGAAAGAAGAGAATACAGAAGAGAAGGAAAAAGTAAATTAAAACTAATTAGTGGGACTACAGATGAAAGGAGTTCCTCAACAGCGAGAGAGAGAAGTACATGTTTCTACCTGCAGGAAATACTAAAATAATGCCCTGTATACAGATGAGGAAGCTAAACCTGATAGAAATCAAATAACTTGCCCCAAACCCCACATCTGGAAAGTGTCAGAGTGGAGACCTGAACAGATTATCAAAGCTCAGAAAGACTCTTAGTAGGTCTTCAACACGAGGCTACTTTTGTAATGTAAATGGTATTTTAAAAATACTAAAAAAGGACAGAATCCTTCTACATAATAAGAAAGTAGAATGCGTGTTGCTCCAATAAACCACACTGAAAACCTATGGAGGCTTTTCGCCACTAGAAAAGCAGTGTTTTCCAAACTGGTATTCCTTAAGCAATTCAGAGTAGGTTAACAAGTATGCTTTAAAGAGTATTCCATGCTTAAATAAATTTGGAAAATACTGGCTTAAACAGAATTAGACAATGATTTTGTTGTTTGTTTCTGATGAACAACTTCTCACAGCATTTTGTATGATAATGTGCATTATGCTTCGAGGTGGAGATGTACCCATCTGACAGTGTTTCCCTAACTTATTCGAAAATGGCATCTATCTTGACTGTAGCCCACCTATGTTATCTCCATCGGACACAGTTTTGGGGGAAAAGGCACTAAAGTAAATAATTAACGTCAGTCCTCAAACTCATTGGGCTGCATCGAGCAAATTTTAATTGTTTTTAACGTTTATTTATTTTTGAGAGAAAGAGTGCACGAGCGAAGGAGGGGCAGAGAGAGAGGCAGACAGGATCCGAAGCAGGCTACGCTATAGTGAAGGGTGTGATTTGGGGCTCGAACCCATGAACGGTGAGATCATGACCTGAGCCGAAGTCAGATGCTTAACTGACTGAGCCACCCAGGTGCCCCTGAAACAAATTTTTAAGTAGTTATTAAAAATACAGATTCACCAAATGATCAAGAGACATGGTTTCGTTGGCTTTATACATAAATCTATCAGAGGCACTTCTCAATTTTAATAGGACTATTAAGAAAGCTTTCTGGACAGTAAAGAGAATCTACACACCTAACAAGTTTGGGCTAGGTCTCACAGATACCTTAACCAGAATAGATTCATAAAGCTGTGGCCAACAAGGAAAAAAGCTTCAGGGATAACCGCATTAACCAAGCTTCCCAATAAAGAATAAATGATTTCTGTTGTCGTTGTCAAGTCATTTTCAAATTAACAAAAGGGTTAGTGAGGAGAATAATATTTTTTTAATTTGGAAATCTAATTTTTCTGCTCATTACACACAGGCAGCCTGAACTGGTAACTGAGCCCGCTATGTGCCGCCACCTCACGTAACATGGCAGAGGCTGATCTGCCTGTACAGTCCTTCCTCGACCTCACCCTCAACTCCTGCTCCAGCCACTCTGTCAGCATCACCACAACACAGAGTCTGAATTTGTAAAAATAGTTCCTCTTCTAAAAGGGAAAAGTTTTCATAGCTAGAATTACAACAGCTTCCTTAGTTATGATCGGTGCTTAAAAGTGTACAAATATGAACAGGGAAGACACTGCTAAGGGGTTCTTTTGAGGGGAGAAAAATGTAAAATTGGACTATGATGATAGTGGTACAACCCTGTAAATATCCTAAAAAATACTGAATTGAACACTTCAAGTGCATGAATTGTATGGGATGTGAATTATATCTTAACTAAGCTGTTTTAGAAAAGAGTAAACATCGGGGCGCCTGGGTGGCTCAAGTCGGTTAAGCGTCCGACTTCGGCTCAGGTCATGATCTCAAGTTTCATGAGTTCAAGCCCCGCGTCGGGCTCTGTGCTGACAGCGCAGAGCCTGGAGCCTGCTTCGGATTCTGTCTCCCCCTCTCTCTGCCCCTCCCCTGCTTGTGCTGTCTCTCAAAAAATGAATAGGGGCGCCTGGGTGGCGCAGTCGGTTAAGCGTCCGACTTCAGCCAGGTCACGATCTCGCAGTCCGTGAGTTCGAGCCCCGCGTCAGGCTCTGGGCTGATGGCTCAGAGCCTGGAGCCTGTTTCCGATTCTGTGTCTCCCTCTCTCTCTGCCCCTCCCCCGTTCATGCTCTGTCTCTCTCTGTCCCAAAAATAAATAAACGTTGAAAAAAAAAATTAAAAAAAAAAAAATGAATAAACGTTAAAAAAAAATAAAAAAAGAAAAAAAGAAAGAAAAGAGTAAACATACAAGAAACAAAAACTTTCTTGGCAAATAGATACTACTAAAATGTATAAAATTATAGCAAACAAATTTAAAATATTATATAAAATAACCAACTTAATATAACCACTTACCTCTGAGACACCAAGGTAACAGTGATAAGCCTTAGCTTCCCAACTTTAAGTATATTAGGAAATTAACTTTACTTTTTAATTATACTACTACTTCTACTGAACATAACATTATTCTACTTCAAAAAGGTAGAATCCCATAAGTTAGCATTTATAATACATACCAGATAAGTTGGACACCAGATATTGAGAACCTTCCTTTAACTGACTACCAGTCAGATCATTTTATCAACTAAGAGTCCTCGGGGGGGGAGGGGGGGGGCCTCAGGAATTTGTTTTCTAAAATAAAAAAAAAAAACCACCACAAATTCCTAAGTGTCCAAAGAAGAACTGCATTAACAATAATGAAAGCTTTGTTGGGATGAGCACTGGGTGCCCTATGGAAGTGATGAATCACTGGGTTCTACTCCTGAAACCAATACCACACTGTATGTTAACTAACTTGAATTTAAAAAAATAAAAAACTGGGGCGCCTGGGTGGCTCAGTCGGTTGAGCGGCCGACTTCGGCTCGGGTCATGATCTCGCGGTCC